ATATATATATATATACATATATGGTTTGAAAGCAATTTCAAATCTTAAATTTTTATGAGAGAGTTTATTATTTATAGAACTTTTAGAACCGTGAAAAGATGATCGCAGCGCATTCAATATTTTGACTAAGCTCTGTAACTAGGGCTGTAAAAGAGCCGAGCTTGAGCGAGCTTAGGCTTGGCTCGTGTTCGGCTTGTTCAAAACTGCTCGTGTTCGAAATCAGCTCATCTTTGAAATCTGCTTGTGAACAGTGTGTTTGTGCTCGTGTTCAGTTCAATTTAAAAATTCATGTTCGTGTTCAACTCGTATTCAGCTCGAAATTGACTCGTTAAAATTAAATTGAAAAAAATAGATGTAAAGTGTTGGATTCAAACCTGGACCAAATGTATAAAGTATGTTTTGACTAAGCTTTAAAGTAGGGCTGTAAAAGAGCCGAGTTTGAGCGAGCTCAGACTTGGCTCGTGTTCGGCTCCTTCGCAATTTGTACTATTGCTCGTGTTCGAAATCTGTTTGTGTTCGAAATTGACTTGTGAACAGTGTGTTCGTGTTCGGCTTTTGTTCAGCTCGAAATTGACTCATTAAAATTAAATTGAAAAAAATTGATGTAAAAAGTTGGATTCGAACCTGAACCAAATGTATGAAAAAAAAAAACAATAACCACATCACTACACTAATTGTTAGTATTTACATGAGCAAACAAAGAGCTTTCCGTGTTCGGGTCGTTTATAATTCGAGCTTTAAAAAGTTATTCGTGTTCGAACGAGCTGAGCATGAGCTGTTCACGAACAACGAGCTTTTTTGACAGCCATATTTGTAAGAAATAAAATATTATAATAATTATAATTATATGTTTCAGTTTCAAATAAATTAATTTTATTATCGAAAAAAATATTTTGTTGGCAAAGCTAATGACCCAAAAGAAAAAGGATAATGAAGAAATCTGATAGGTAATAAGAAAGAGATGAATAGAACAAGAGAATCTTTATTAAAATTCTTTTTTTAATAAAGAAAATGAATAATATTAGGATAATTTACATTCATTCTGAAATGAAGCAGCTCCTAGACTTGATTGGAGAAATTGCAGACAAAAGAATCAAGAAGAAAGACGAAGAAAAAGATGTAATTGAGAGAGGATGAGCAAGTAGAGATTTAGAATGATTTACATTAAACCCCGCAGTTCAATACAGAGGTATATATATATACCAGAGATCATATTGATTTTATATATCTAGCTAAAACAGAGATTGAGGAGTACTTATTTATAATTAACTAAATCGGGGTTAAGAAAGACCACTTCAACTAATTATGTGTATTAATCTTTTTCATCCCCTCTCAAACTGACAATATTTGTAGTTGATATCGAACGTTTGTGTCGCAACTTGTGAAAAGGAGTGGGAAGGACCTTGGTGAAGATGTTGGTGATTTGCTCTTCAGAGGTGAGATATTGAAGACTAATTTCGACAGATTTAATGTGATCTCTAATAAAATGGTACTCCATCGCAATATGTTTAGTTCAAGATTATAAAACAGGATTGTGAGCCATAGCGGACATATTATCACAATAGAGAGGTGTATGTGTCAAAATGGGTATGCGAAAGTCTTGAAGTAGACGACTTAGCCAAATGATTTTAATAGTAGCATATGATATAGCTCTATGCTCTTGCTTAAGTTGAAGATCTTGCCATTGCAGGTTGTTTTTTCACGTGCCTAGATGTAGGTTGGGTCCATAGAAAGTAAAATAACTAGTAATTGAGTCACGATCATTCACATCACTTGTCCAGCTTGCGTCCGCATAAGCATGCAAATCTAGTGAACCGGCACTGAATGGAATACCCAACTCTAGTGTTCCTTTAATATAATGCAAGAGACGTTTGAGAGCATTGTAATGAGTCCATAAAGGTTGATGTAATTGTTGAGACAAATAATTGACAGCAAACATGATATCCGGTCAAGTTAATGCGAGATACTGAAGAGACACAACTAAATGTTTGTTCTGCGAAGGGTCAGAATATATTTCAAGATCTTCAGTAGATAATTTATGAGAGAGAACCTGAGGATTTGGTACAGATTTGCAGTTTTTCATCCTGACTCGGTTGAGGATATCTTTTGCATAGTAAGTTTAATTGATGTGATAGCCATAATCTGTATGACTAATATGGATAACCAGAAAATTATTAACTGATTCCATAAATTTCATGGAAACTTTCTATTGTAATTGCTGCTGAAATTGTAATATCAACTCTGAATTATTGCCAATTAATAAAATTTCATCAGCATATTATAAAAGATAAAGACAATCAGTTGCAATGATAAATATAGAGAGAAGGATCAGTTGTACTTGCTCGAAAACCGAATCGAAGAAGATGTGTAGTGAAGGTTTGCTTCCATTGTAGTGGAGCATGCTTTAGTCCATAGATAAATTTCTGCAAATGACACACATGGACTGGGTGAAATGGATCGATATACCCTAAAGTTAATGCATATAGACAATTTCAATGAGCTAGCCATGGAGAAAAGCGTTTGAAAAATTCATTTGACAAAGTCTCCACTTATAGTGAATGAAAATAATGAGACCAAGATGTATAGTGGGAATTTTGGCTACTCGGCTGAATGTGTCCTTATAGTTAAGACCATATTCTTGTTGATTTCCCAAAGCTACAAATCAAACTTTATATCTTTCCACCGATCCAGCGAAATTCTTTTTTATTTTAAATGTCCACTCCACTTGCTTCCACAAAATGGTTGATCGATGGGAGAGGGAATGAGTTTCCAAGTATTTTATTTGTTGAGAGCTTGCAGTTCCTCTTCTTCCTCTTTCCTCCAAAAGTCATATTAAGCAGCTTTTTTAAAAGTGGTAGGTTCATTATTGGGAGAGAAAATATGTAGCAAATCGAGCATGTCTTCTTAGGTAGTGAACTAATCTGAGATTTTGTTACCATAGGTTGTTTCAGTGGGGTGGAAGGGAATGATAGGTACCTGACAGGGTGAAGCAGGACTGCACTGATTTTCGGCAAAACAGAGAGAGATGGGTAGCGAGAAAACTGTGAGTTCATGGGTTACAAGCAGAAAGAGTCATAGCATGTGTGATAGGATGGGAAAGTGAATGGAATGTTTCATCGGTAGAGGTTTGAGTTAGAGATGTTGGGAAGACGAGCGAGGGGTAGGAGATTAATAGTAAAACGTGGAGAAGAGTTGAGGTGTTGGACTTGTTTGTAAGGATATACATGTTCATTAAAGAAAACATGTCAAGAGATGAAAATTTTCTCTATGGTCATGTCAAGACATTTGTAGCCTTTAACATGTGAGGGATAGCCAAAAAATACAAAAGTTTGACATCGAGCAACTCATAGGGTGATTTGTTAGCTGTAACATTGGACGGTAGCCTATCATCAGATAGACTGCCGTGAGGACCGTTTCTAGCCAAAGTGACAAAGGAATATTGGAATCAGCCATAAGAGCTCTTGTGGTTTCCAAAATGTGTTGATTTTTCCTTTAGGCAGTCCAAATTTGTTGAGACATATAAGGACAACTAGTTTCATTGATAATGTCATATGTAGTGAATAAATTCTTGAACTGTTGACTAGTGTATTCCCCTCCTTTATCAGTCTGAATTACTTTTATTTTTTGATTAAACTGAAATTCCACTTTTTTATTTGAATTTAATAAAGTGATAAATGACTTCAAATTTACTTCTCATCAGATAAAACCATGTGTAACTAATAAAGTCAACAACAAATAGTACAAGTAACTATATCCTTGATTTGACATAGTTGGAGTACAATGAGAACCTTGTCAGTAGAGAGTATGAAATAGTTTAGAAAAACTTAGCTTACAATTGGGAGTAGAGAGAATGCCACTGTCAGAATGTTGGATAGGAACTGTGTTACCATTGCGGACCATCACACTGTCATTACCTTGAAAAGTTTTAGGAAGATGCAGTTGGTTGAGATAAGCAGTCAAATGAGACGTAGCTCCGATATCAAGATACCAATCAGATTTGACAAATGGAGTGGTGGAGGTAACATAATCCTTTGGAGAGTTAGTGCCAGCCAAAACATTGACTTTTTTTGGTTAGTAATTTGCATTGAAGTGATGCCAACAAGTAGAAACACTATGATCCTGCTTATTGCATATCTGACAGATTATGAAGTTTCTTTC